AAATAGCACATCTACCAAATTTCATGAGAAAACTCCAAATAGATTGATAGAAAAGTTTGAAGCAGCAAAAGATTTCCAGTCTACAACATGATGAAAATGTGCAAATGTCAAGTCAGATCTCTCTCAGAATTCAAATCTATGAGAAATAAACCTCCTATGGTGATAGAGGGAACATCCCCTCCAAATTTCATGGGAAAAGTTTTTTATAGATTAGTATAAATCGTGATTTTACTTGTCACAAATCAATTTGTCTGATGAAGTGGTACTTGGTAGATGATGAATAGGAAGCCTAACCACCTTTGAATATGGGAAAGTTATGAAACTACTTCCAAATGATTCTATAGCTAATTAACCCTTAGATTAAACTTGTAGTAGATTTCATGCTTGCTGAGATAGTGGAATTGGGGATTGGTGACCAAGCATAGCCTGACACACAGTGAACTTGGAGATACAATCACGCAAAATCTAAAGCTTACGAAATTTGGATGATAGACTCATAATGCGCCAATGAGGAGATTTGCCTAGCTTCATCCCATTCTGATATCATTTTGCAAGGCTTCATATTGATTGGTCGTAAGGACTTCTGGACACACGATGATTTGTAAAGAGATGTCAGATCTTGTCCAAATCTCATCGAATTTCATTTCCAGTCTCGTCCAAATCTCAATGAATTTTGTTGTTGTTTTAATAATGCTAAAGGGTTGAGATCCAAAAAGTTTGATCTCATTCAAAAATCTTTTGTGTGTACTCTTTTCCATGTATATGTGGATGAATACTTTTTTGGCGGATGTGTTATTAGGTACGGCCTTTTAAGGAGAGGGTGCGCCACAAATTTCATGTCAAAATAATTCAGGAAAAATGACCTAACCCCCCTTCCCCATAATTTTCTTCCCTAGTTCACCAAAATCCCTTGTACCTCCTCAAGTTTAAAACTTTGAGATGGTTAGCTCCTCAATTATGTTTTTTTTTATCTTTTTTATAGATTTGGGGGGCGTTTGGGTACCTGGAAATCTATTACGAGATAATAGATAATAAGGAAATATGGTATTTTTCATTGTTTGGGTACACTTAATCGTAAGTAAATGGAAAGAGATTACGCGAGATTTCTTCAAAAATCAGGAAATCCATTACGCTCGGTGATAGGTGAAAAATCTATTACGGGAGTGACGGGTAATTTTGAGAAATCTTTAATTAAAAAAATGTTATCTAGTACGCCTTCTCTCCATACTAACTAGTATAAATTACACAACACATTCATAATAAAAAATTTCACACAACATAATCCTCATAAGAAATTACTTAAATCTCAATTGATATAACATACATATTTAATCTCCTCCAATGCCTCAAAATTTTATACTGCAATTACCAAACCTTCTAGTTTACTCATCAAACTTCTTCCCATTTTTTAACTCGTATTATAGAGATTTTGAATTTAGTATCATAAATTTATTGTTTATTTGAAATTATGTAGAGAAACATTTGAAAGACTTCTATAAGAAATAAATAAAATTAAGGCTTATCATAATAAAATCATGTTATTCCAATCATATTGTTCCAATGACTTATCATGTTGAAACCAATATCATGTTAGAAGATATGTGATTCCATGTAAGTGTAAAGGCATGTAAAATAAGTAGGAAATGGTATCATGATGATTGCAAAATGGTGCAAGTTATTATTAGAAAATCTTTTGGAATGGTGATGTTGTTATTATTAGAAATCTTTGTAGAATGATGTGATGATGATTTTAATTTCGTATTTTAGTGGAATTTTGTAACAAAAAAGAAAGAAATGATAATTCAACATTTTAGTGGAATTTTAAAAAGAAAGAAACGATATTTTATAGGCACGCGCTGGTAAAATGTTGGTAATGCATTTCCTATATTTTTTCAAGACATAACCAAACAATAACAATGTATTTCCCAGGTTGCATCTAAATACTACCCAAACAGTTACAATCCATTTACATGTAATGTATTACGTCAGTAATATATTTCACAGACAATATATTTCCAGGTATCCAAATGGGCCCTTAATGTATTTGTTTTACAAAATGCCAATCCATCAATTTGTTAGCTCCTTCCCTTTCTCTTCCATTGTCGAAAACCAATCTTACCTCTGTGGTCCGCACTCTACAAATTTAGACTTGAAAAGAAAATGATTTTTCTTTAATATTATGTCCTATTTTATAATTGCATCATTATCTTTTGAACTTATAGAATAATTAATCGAGCTCTTTATTACTATTGTTAATAGATTATTATTATTATTTATTCACTATGACCTATTTATTATGTTGTTGTTGTTGTTTTTGTTATTGCAGATATTATTATTAGTACTAAATTTTGTGTATAAAGTCACTATACATATATGTGTGTGTGTGTGTGTGTGTGGGGGGGGGGGGGGGGGATAATCTAAACTTCACAATCCTTCAAATTACAAAAGCTCAAGATAGAGAGAATTGTGAAGTGTGGATTTATTAATTTTGTATTCTATTTTTTAAAAAAAGTTATTTTTGTGGGGCAATTTTGTAAATATTACTAGAAGACAAAAGGTATTTTTGTCATCTTCATAAGGGATAAAGTTGAAATTTTAACTAAATGACAAGGGCACTTTACAAATAAAGCTCTAGGACACTAACTTCTAAAATACCGATGTATTTTTGTAAAAATTTCAAATTTGCCTTAGCTTGATGGTAAAGTTACCTATTTAAATAATTTTTTAATAAAAATGTAATGGTTGTTTTGATAAATACACCCATCATAACCGCTTCTAACTTGGAACTTTGTATTTTGAGGGGTTGTTAACTCTATACAAACCTT